AGGAAGGAAGGAAGGAAGGAAGGAAGGAAGGAAGGAAGGAAGGAAGGAAGGAACTATTGCCCCAAGGAGAATAAGAGTTTTTTCTGGAGTCAGATTTGAGTAACAGATCCAGCTCACCACATGGGGGCAATTTCATCATAACAGAGCAAAGCCAGGTGTAACTCAAGGCACATGTAAAAAGGCATTAGCAACTGTATCTGAATGGTGGCTACAGCAAGTAGAGGGAATCTCTCTTATGGGCCGCAGCTATTAGCGGATGACATTCTGAGCTTTGGAGCTGGCGGAAGCTAGGGAGGTATGAAGTTAATAGATTCAAAAACAAAAAGGTGAGCCAAGAATGGCTTTCGGAGGGGGCTAAAGCTAACCCAAGCTGAGGTAACTGGGCTCTGGGACTGCACCATTCCCCCCTTCCACATGGCTGCAGTTCCCATCAGTGACTCTGTGTCTGCAGAGATAGCTTGTGAATAGCCGCTTCTGACAGCGCACTAACAGCTCTTGACTGCCCTGGGAGTGAAGCCCAGGGAGCGTTTGCGCGGCCTCCTCACCAGAAGTTTATCAAAACCAAGTTTATCAAAACCGTACCATGCCCCGCTTCGCAGGAGGAGGTTAGTACTGACCACCTGGGGACACCAGAGTAGCATCAAGAGGAACAGGCGTTCTGCAGACAGGATAAAGAGGTGTTGAGGAGAAAGCCGACTGGAGGACCTGGACTCCCAGGCCCTTTTCTGTTGCCAGTCTCCTCTGTGACTTTGGGGAGGTCGGTTCATCTCCCTGGGGCGGGGGCAAGGACCAAACAACCTGCAATGACCCCCCCACAATGACATTCCCCACCCCCGCTCTCCCCTCTCTCTCTCTCTCTCTCTCTCTCTCTCTCTCTCTCTCTCTCTCTCTCTCTCTCTCCCCCCTTTAGTCAAAGGTAGGGGCAGATTAAGAAAACCCAAGTGATCAGCTGTCCCCGATGTCCCTGAGCCGTGGCAGAATTTCTCCTTAACTGACTTAGCTTGAAATGTGACAAACTGGTCTCTATCTTTCATCTCTGAGACCAACTCACAAAGGCCCTTCTTCAGATCCACTGGGGTTTCTAAAGTATAAGGCAGGAGAGCAGACATTCCACCTTTAAACCCAACAGGAACAATGAGATTAGCTAGACCGTGACATAGTTCCGGTAGCAGGCTGCTTACCTAAGCATGCAGGAAGCCCTGTGTTCAATCTCCAGCACCATGTGAGCTGGACATGGTGACATGACTCATTCCTGTCATACCAGCAGTGGGGGAGGTGGAAGTAGGAGAATAATAAGTTTATGAGTTTGAGGCCAGCTTGGGCTACACAAGACCTTGTATGATAAAAAAAAAAAAAAAAATGAAGAAGAGGTTGGCATTTCTGCCTATCCAGTTTGGTTTTGACATAGAGGCCTCTCTAGGTAGCCCAGGCTGACCTCAGACTCACGATTCTCCTGCTACAGCCCTCTCAGGATTATAGGCCTGAGCCACCATGCTGTTCTTCAAGATCAGAAGTGTTTGAAGTATCAAAAATCCTCTAGACCTGCAGACATCAAGAAGTAAAAGTAAGTGAACACATTAGCCATCTCGGGAGCTGAGACTGGAGTGGGCATCGTGTGCTGTGTTCTGTGGAATTTGCCCGACATCTGGCTTTAATGTCAGAGCCCCTGACGGGTATGGCTGCCCCTTTCTTCTGGGAGGAATCTGGGGGTGTGCTGACTCTCATTCCCCCCACCCATCAGATGGAGGAGGGGAGGGTAAAGATGAACGCAAGAGCAGGAGGAGAAAACTGAATGACACAAAGAGAAAACTAGAAATTTGCAGTTGTCTCCGGGGGACACATTTTCTGTTTCTAATGCCATCGGAGGCCTTGTTCCCACCTTTTAGGTAACAGTTTGGTTTCCATGGTGACAGCAGGACAACCACAACTGGCTGCACTAAATGTCCCTGTGTGATGGTGACCTGGAATCCCAGCAGGAGAGCTAGGCATGGGCTGGAGTCTGATAGACCCTGTGGGTAAAACACCACCAACACCCCTGGGGTGGGCCCTTCATTCTGAAGCCCCGAGTACTGCATCCATACCAGCGTCCTAGTTTCCCTGCTCCAGAAAGCCTAAGAGTAGGGTTCGGGGAGCCCTAACTCATTCCCATACCTTCAACAACTAGCTGCTGGAACATAAGAGAAGATCTGCCAGGACTCCAGCCAAAGAAACGTTCATAAGGCACATCCAGAAAGCACATTACCTGCGGCCCAGGCCCTGTGCTAAGTAAGTGTTTCCATCCAACTCATCTCACCCGCTCAGGGACCTGAGCCATAATCTCCAATGTTGTTTCCATATTGCAAAGGCAGAGCTGGCTTCGTAAAGACTGAGTGACCTACTCAGGGATGAGTGCTCATCAGTGGGACAGCCAGCCTCAGCTCTTTCAAAAATCTGTCTTCTCCAGCCACCAGCGTCCCCCCTGGGACTGGTGAAGGCAGCAATTCCTCAGCTCGCCCAAGAGCTGTTCACACTCTGAGGATGAGGCCCAGCAAGCCCAAGGGAGCCTGAGGCCCACTCAAGTGTGAGAGCCAATGCCAATCAGATGTTCATTCTGGCTAACTCTTGCTCGAGAGGGACTCAATTTGCTACACGTTAGAATCGCTTAGGCATAACGCTCTCCAGCTCCAACCATATTATAGAAGGTGCTACAGGTCCCTTCCTTTTGTTATGTTAGCATGCAAAACAATGGATTTTATTATAATGCTTCCATGCGACTGCCACTATGTTTACTTCTGTTTGTTTGCTTGTTTGTTTGTTTGAGATAGGGTTTCTCTGAAGCTCTTGTAGACCAGGATCACAGAGATCCGCCTGCCTCTGTCTCCCTAGTGCTGGGATTAAAGGCGTGCACCACCCTCCCCCCCTCCCCGGGGCGACTGTGATTATTCGTAGTCATCTTTCTCCCACACAGTCCTCCCTTCACCCTCTTACTGGTCCTCCCCAATTAGCCCCTTTCTAGTTTCTAGGTAAGTGCAAGTCTCTGGACACCTAGAACACAAAAACACCAACATTGCTTGAAATAAGAGCCTGAGTTCACATTAAAGAGAAGTTGTAGAAAATGTAGGTGGGGCTGGGACCTAGTAAAGAACCAAACAAATTGTTTTCTATGGGTGTGAATGCAAAACTAACCAAAAAAAAAATCTGAGAGATTCTCCACATTGATTTGATAGTGAAAACAGATTCCAGTTACAGTACACACTCGGCCTACTGGATCTAGAGTTTAAATTGAATGAGGAGTCACCCAGTTTTCTGAAAGGGTGAAGACCTAGACATTACCAACCCACTCCCACCCCATACCTGGTGCCAATAAAGCAAAACCTTCAACATCTTCCAAGACTAACAACTTCAGTGGTCCCAGTGGTTTTTGAGCTACAGGATCAAGTTCTTTAGCAAAGTCTTCTAATGAGCTCTCAGCAGAGGTAAATCAATGCAAGTCTGGGTCCTCTAGTGGAAGAGGCCAGCAATCCCAGATTCTTGGCTGCGTTCCAGATACCTGCATTCTCCAACCACCTGGCCTCGGGTCACCACCAGCTTGGGATTTTCTTTCCAGTCTTCTTAGTCTGTGAAAATGCCACACAACTTTGAAGAGACAGCCCAAATGTCATTGAAGGCTTTATTGATCTCTTGAGAAGTGCTTAGGAGAATTCTTCCATCAACTGAGCTTGTAGTATATAAATTGAATCTCTAACATCCCAATATTAGAACAACGCCTAACATATAAAGAACTACATGTGGTTCTATGTCTTTTTTTTTTTCTGTTTCTGTAGCAATTTGAAGTTCCGTGAAAGCAGCGGTGAGCTCTCTGTCCCCTTTGGATCTCTCATTCACACGCACAGAGAAATCAATCGATCACGATCTTCTGCAGACAGTAGGTATTCCACAAATGTAGCACACAGATTTTTTTCCTGTAGAGAGAGAATAACAGTATTTGGTCCTTTTCCGTTGAGAGCTATGAACTCCCTCTTGTGTCAAGC